GGGCAGAAGGGAATCTGGACCGCAGGGTGACCGGAGCAGGGCTGTCAATGTCCCATCTAACAGGGGCTGTGCCTGTACGGTGGTGACTGAAAAGGAGGAGTTGCCCCCTGTGAGATATTGTATCCTAGCTGAATTCCAAGCATACCCTTTCTTTGTCTATGTACGTGCAGATAATTATATATCCGATTTACTTATCGCTGGCAAAATTAATTTTTCTTTTAAGAAGTGCCAGCTGGGACATTAAGACAGCCCAGTCTATGGTTAATTTGACTCAGCAAGTATTTATTAAATCCAGTTCTGGGAGTACCAAGAAAGTAAAAAGACATGGTCCCTCTTTGGAACTTTAGACTGAAGCCTGGGGGAAGCTGAATTTAGATTTCGGAAGCCCCCAAGCAACTATAGCAGGGGAACAGAAGTCCTCCCCAATGACCCAGGGGAAAGTCTGCACTGGGTGAAGTGACACAGCCCCCCACATAGTAGTGGTCTGGAGTTGCACCCAGACGTGTGGATCCCCAAAGGCACTGCTTCTTTGGAGATTGTTCTGGACAACTTGGAGAGGTTGTGTTGGACCATAAGCCTTAGGGTAGATTTCACAAGACTGGGCACCACCCAGCCTTTGAGAAGGAGGAGTGTATGGGATGGGAGAAGAGAGGGAAACTTGAGGGAGGGAAGAGCCGTAGGCTTGGCTTCAAAGACGACCACCCTGGTGGTTTCCGATGGCTTCTGGGGAAGCAGTGTTTATAGGTTATCTACCAGTGTAGTCTTGGGCTTTGTGTCTACAGAGTCTGATTGTTGATCCATTCAACCTGACGTAGATATTTCTAAACAGCCTCACTGCCAAATGTTTGGCAGCACCCTGACCCAAAAGGTTTGCCCAGGGATCAGCAGGCTCACTCCTGCCCTGGATGACCGTGGTTCCTTTGGGCAACGTCCCCTAGAGGCACAGTGAGGTGCCAGTAGAAGTAACTGCCTGGACCCTGGCTTTCATGTGCTTGTAAAGAAGGAACTTGGGGAGGAGGCAAGATTTAACCCAGGCTTGGTGTCCGGCAGGTGCAAAACAAAAGGAAAAAAGGAGGGAGGGAGGAAGGGATGGTACCGGAGTTGCACCATTATGGGAAGTAGTGGGCTGTGGATGACAGTGAGGAAGCATTGGAAAGGGCAAGGCTTTGAGGAGGAATAAAGGACCATCCAGTTTTGTGCTACAGAGTTAAAAGCAGAGAAATGGCAAACTGTAGTTAAGCGACGTTGAGGCTCACAAACCCAAGTGGATAGCAGGTGTCTTGAACTAGGTGTTCTGTGCTGAAGTAGGTGTTTGTGAGAGGAGGCAAGTTGCTTGGAGAGAGCGCGATGGATGAATTGTCCTGGAGTCAGCCTGAGACCCTCCCTGCACACCTTCTCAATGTGGGTGTGAAGCCATTGCAGGGCTGAATGTGTTCAGGGAATTGCGCCCCTGGTGTTGAAAAAGAGGAGTGCAACTGAGGATTCTGGCAGTTGGGGCCTGTAGGAACGTTTTTTGTTCCCATTGAGCACTAAAGCCTCTTCCTGGGGGACCACGGAGCTTTGAGTGTGTTTTCCCAGGTAAAGGAAGCAAAACTATCCATCACTGCTAAGGTTAGCATCAATTGATTTTCTTTCTCCCCAGATACACAGCGGGCTTCAACTTCCTGTCAAGGCCCTGAGCTGTGCTTGAGGCAGCTAGCCAGTGGGGATCAGTTCTGGCAAATCACCCCACACTGGGCAACATTTCTGGACAGCATGGAATTCTTAGCGTATGATAGATCCCCTAACATTCATTCAAGAACTATTTCCTGACTCATGCTCATAGACACAGTGAGGAACTACCCCCACCACCCACCACCCCCACCCCGGAGGAAGCAGACCCTGAAAGGGAGGGAGGAGTGACATCCCCTGTCTCAGAAAGGAGACCCTCATCTGCTGATTTGAGGGCAGGGCTCTGAGATACCCCTTCCAGGAGGAAGGAGGGATGCAAGCATCCACATCCAGCCTCTGCAGTGTGTAGGGTGGGTGTGGCCTACCAGTGTACTGGCATCTGCTTCCCATCTTAAACATGGTCCCAAGCCCTCATCACATTTAAGAGGAGAGCCTGTGAAAAAAATATAGAATGAAAAGGTCATGGAAATTTCAGACACATCTTGTGAAGCCACCTTATACGTGTTTTGTTCAACAACCCAGCCTCTTTAGATTTATGCTAAAACAGTTGTGCACTTCCATCTAGTCCAGTCAGGCCTCTCTGACTCATGGTGAGCTCAAGCTCAATGGGATCAAGTTGTCCTCTTCCACAGCAGTTTCCCTGGCTGATTTTTTTAGAAATAGATGACTAGGCCTTTCTTTCTAGCCCTTCTTAGTCTGGAAGTTCCACGGTTACTTGTTAAGTCTCGTAGCAACACACAAGCCTCCACAGTGACTGTGCATGAAGTGTGTTGCCTAGAAATCAAATCTGGGTCTCCCACATGGGAGGTGAGGATGCTGCCATGGGTCACTGGACCAGCATTGTTTTTAATAGAAGAGTAAAGATATGTGTCTTTTCACTCAGCATTGGGGGTGTAGTGGGTTATGGCTTGGGCTGCTACCCACAAGGTTAGCAATTCAAAACCACCAGCTGTTTTGTGGGGGAAAGATGAGGCTTTCTACTTCCTTAAGAGTTATAGTCTTGGAAATCCACAGGGGCAGTTCTATTCTGTCCTATTGGGTCATTATGAGTCGGAATGAAGTCGATGGCGGTGAATCTTTTGGGGGCTTACCATTTAGCCCAGTTGATGCTGGAGAAAGATTCTCTGTTTCATCCTGGGTTTTCCAGGGCCTGTTGGATCATTGCTGAATTCCGTTATATTAGAAAAACTCCAGGTCTAAAAGTCCAGCTCTCTACCACTGCATCATCATGTCTGTGTGCTAAAGGCAAAGCCCTAGGCTCCTGGGAGATGATAAATAACAATTATTGAGGACCTGCTGGATGTCAGACATAGAAGCTTCACCACAGTCAAATACCTGTAACACTCTCTCTTTCCCTCTGATATATATTTATTGTTGTTGAAAACATACACAGCGAACCTACACTAATTCCGCAGTGTCTACATGGACACTTCAGTGACGTCAGTTGTGCAACCATTCTGACCCTTCTTTTCTGAATGTTGTTCCTCTGTTAGCATCAACTCACTGTCCCCTTAGCTTCTTTCAAGCTGCTGTTGTCAGTTTGACCCCATAGAGTTAGACCTATAAAGAGTGAGTGCTCAAGGCAGATACTTTCTACTCACTGAGCTCAACTCTTGCTTGGTTTTGAGAAGAGTTCAGGAGATTTCTGCTTTAAAGTTTAAAGATAGTCTCATGATACTAGATTCAGGGGTTCATCTAGCCTCCATGGTTCCAGAAAGTCTGGACTTAGGAGAATTTGAAGTTCTGTTTTGTATTTCCCCCTTTTTGATCAGACTTTAAAAAATCATTGATCACAGTGTTCCATAATTATAACTGGATACCCGCTAGTTCTTCTGGTTTCATGGCAAAGGAGATAGACTTTTAGTTTTTTCTTAACTCCATTTTTGCCGACGAAGAAATAAAGTCTTAGAGAGATAGCAAAATTTGCCCAGGGACATATACCTAGTGCATGATAGAGCTGGCGTCCCTACTCAGGTCTGTTAGATTCTAATGTTTATGCTCCTTCCATTCAATAGTCACCTCTTTAGGAACTGCTAGTTATTCTCTTACCTATCTCTGTCCCCTGCACCCAGCAGAGGTGAAGCCAAATGTCAGTAACGTGTCTCTCTGCCATCCAGGCTGTGAACTGTCCTTTCTTGCCCTGCCCTGCCCTGCCTCTCCCGGGCTTGACCACAGCTGTCCAAGATGCCAGCCTAGTGATATGTGACTAAAATAAGTCAATTCTCTTATCAGAGTCCAGTTGTCCTTCTAGACATGTTCTCCTTTGGAGGCTTGTAGAAAAGGGAGAGGCTGTGTCCTCTCTAAGAGACAAGTTCCCACTGCCCATTAAGAAATGGATCCTGTGTCCAGTCTCTCATGGTGACC